CATATTTGACCACATATGTTTCTACCCCTGACTTCACAGAGGATGGCCATACACTATATATGATCTGCAATTTGCATTTTTCACTTGACATGATGTATCTAGGACACAATGGAATTGACTCACATTAAAATCCATCCTCCCACTGCTGTAGGGGTGTGTCACTGTGGGAATCCACTGTGTTTATCCATCTTTTTTAGGTAAATGAACAACTGTCTACTTTAAGCTTTCAGATATTTCCATGCTACTGATACTCTTCCAATGTCTTAGTATAACTTTTAAGTGAGAGTTTCTCCAGGGAAATTTCATCTAGATGTATAACTGTAGGCTGACTGGCATAGACATTTCTAACATGAATACAACAACCTGTCCGCTGGCAGGAAACAGGGGACCCTGATGTTGCACACAGGCTTAGAACCCTTGGTGTGATTCAATTTGAGTTTTTATCAATCTAGGAAGTATAAAATGTTAGTTCATTGCAGTTTTTCAATTACATTTTCCTGATTGCTACGAGAATGGGGATATTTTCATCTAACCAACCACTTGTACATTCTGTCCCTCACTGAGGTCTTCCCCACTTTTCAAATTGCTTGTCTTTGGGCAGGTATACAGACTGGACTGCCTCTTTACTAATTTAAAAGGGTCCCTTGTATACTAGGATTGCATGTGTGGCTTGCCATGCCTACCTTCTACTGATGCTTCCCCCTTCCCCCACCCCCAAGACATGGTTTGTGTAGTCCTGGAACTCACTCTGTAGACCAAGCTGACCTCAAACTCAGAGATCCACCTGCTTCTGCCTTCCAAGTGCTGGGATCAAATGCGTGTGCCACCACTGCCTGGCTTCCTACTAATTCTTAATTATTAAAGTATTTGAAGCAATAATAAAAAAATTTAGTTTTAAATGTGTTATCAAAAATTGTATTGTTAGACCAGGCATGGTGATCCATATCTTTAATCCCAGCACTCAGGAGGTAGAGATAGCTAAGGCCAGCCTAGTATAAAGAGTAAGTTCCAGGAAGCCAAGGCCATACAGCAAAGCTCTGTCTCAAAAAACAAAAACCAAAAGGACTATATATATATATATATATATATATATATATATATATATATATATATATATGACGAGAACAATATATATATATATTGTTCTCGTCATCTGTTTTCAGTATTTTAAGGTATATTTGTATAATCTCTGATATCTAAATTTAACTATATTTCAGTACAATTTCTCTGTAGGCCACATTGTTCTCTTTTTGGAACAGATGACCTTTCAGACTAAAACAAAAATTCTTTGCTAAGGTCTAGAGAGATGCTCAGTGGTTAAGAGCACTAGCTGTTCTTCCAGAGGACCCAGGTTTGACTCTCAGTACCTATATGATCTATCTAGTTCCAGGAGAATCTAATGGCCTCTTCTGACCTATGTAGGTACCAGGCATGCACAAGGCACACAAACACACATGCAGGCAAAACACGACATAAAGTGAAAAAACTTTTAATTATTTGCTTTCACATCTCAAGAACTTGAACTAAAACTCATAAGTATAGAAATCAATATTTTTAACAGAATAACCATTTCATCAACTTCAGAGATACTAAAAGAGGGATTTGCAGGGAAGTCACTTTTAGACAGGAAGTAGGCAAATTCAGAGAGCTGTCACAATTTAAATGGATGCATACACTGACTGCTGAAAGGCTACACTGGATGAGACAAGATTAGGAAGCATGTCTCGGACAAGTGGGCAGCTCTATGTTACTTCTGTCTCTTCACCCTTTTCTCAAAAATTGCTAGGAAGATTTCAAAACTTAAACTATAGAAAACAAATGGTGTGGCCAGGTGTGAGGGTGGATGTCCATAGCCCCAACTATGAGGAAGATAAGAGCATGAGAATTATATCCACAAGTTTGAGGGTAGCTTAGGCAAGACAGCAAGACTTAATTTCAAATAAAGACAAGAAGCATAAAAACCAGGTATGAACTGGCAAAATGGTTCAGTACTTGCTGCCAAGCCTTGTAACCCAAGTTTGGTTTCTAGAACCTACATGGTGAAAGAACTGACTCCATGCATGTGCCATTGCATACTGTACCCCCCACCCAGAAACAAATACATGGTTAAAAAAAAAAAGTCAGGTATGATCACACATGACTGAAATCCCTACATGGAAGTGTGGGCAGGAGGCAGCAGCACGTTCCGGTCTGGCCAGGCCACAATGAGAAATGCTGTTTCAGTACTTCCTAAAGCATAGAAGCAAATGAATATGAATGCACTAAACACTGTTTAAAAACACTTGTTAAGTGTGTTCCTAGTCATCTTTAGAAGTGAAATCTCCTGACAGAGCAGCCAGAATAAAATCCTTTATTGCTAATTCCACAAGTATATACTGAACATGTCCTAGAACTACATCTACATTGCTACATACCAAAGCTATCAAAAGATCTGGATTATAGAGCTCTTGAAAAGGATATAATGTATGCTATTCCCTAGTATCAAATAGATTGTCTAAAAGCTAAAAACAGAGTGGGAGCAGAAAAACACCAAACACATCAACAACATTCAGGCAGCAAAACAGACCTGGCTGTCAGCTGGCTTACCATATGAGTGCTTTCGTCACAGTTGGGGACATGCCTTGTGCTGTTTAATTTTTATGCTCAGCTTGGATGGGTTTAGAGTCACCTATGAGTCACGCCCTGGGACTGTCTGTGAGGTCATTTCCAGAGAGGTTTAATGAAGGCATGAAGCCCACCTTGAATGTGACAGCAACAACCCATGGCCTGGGGTCCTGAGCTGAATAAAAAGGAACAAGACGTAATGGGGATCAAAGTTCAATTCTCTCTGCTTCCTGACTGTGAACACAATACACCCGACAGCCACACTCCTACCTCCATGCCTCTCTGCCATGAAGGACTGTATCCTCAAACAGAGATCAAAATAAAAAAGAAGCCTTTCTTCCGTTATCTTGCCCCATCACGTATTTGTTCAGAACAAGATTAGCAACTCAAACACCCAAAGTCCCACAGAGCCCAACTCAAATCCAAACACTTTTAGTTTGCTCTTTTCTGGAACCTAGCACATTTTACTCAATGTTTCGAGTGGCAGTCAGTGCTGCACAGTCTGCACAGAGGCATTTTTTAGTAAATATAATGGCAATCCAAATCAATTACATCCCATTTGAAACTGGCAATCCCAAGACTCAAGTTCTATCCCAATGAAAGACTCAGACTAGCCTTATAACTGATAATTTTGAATTCTCTCAGTACCCTTTCAGAAAATAGGAGAATGTAACAGCCCCTCCTGACCCTAGCCATCTGCACGGACGGAGATAAGGAGAAGACCTCCACCCGGTTGCAGAAGGAAATAGCAGCGGATCCAGATGGTCCTAATTCCCTTCCCAAATAGCCCCTTACCTTTTGACTAAAGGCACGTAGCTCTGTTTCTCAGAGAGACCACAGGATGAGCAGATTGCTTTCCCCACCTTTAACAATGGCCTAGTCCGACCACAAAATCTAATCCTTTTCCCACCTTTAACAATAGGTGAATATGCACATATCAGAAACCCCAGATGTCTAGCTGACCTGGTACCCACAATAGACCCTATATCTGCTCCCATGATGTCAGACCTGTAACCCCCTCATCTATCCCTTTAAAAATTGGAGGCTACTGAGAGTCGGGGCTGACTCTAGCCTAAATGTAGAGTTAGCCCCAGCATGCTGGTATAAATTAAAACCTCTTGCTAATTGCATCGATTGCAGCCTCCGAGTTTCCTTCACAGCAAGCCTCTTTGGTAGTTAGACCCCTTGATGGGCCTAACACCTACAATCCAGGAGGAAGCAGAGAACCAACTCTTAAAAGTTGTCCTCACATCTCTGTACACATAATAGCACATGTGTGCCTGTGAATACACATACTAAATAAATATTAAATATTTTAAAAAAGAAGCTGGGCAGGAATAAAAATATGCCATAATTTAATAAGCAAAAGAAATTAAATTTTGAATGTAATCCTAGTTACAAGTCAAAATTTCTCTGAAAACAATATTTTTAAATTTTTATGTTAATCACAGGTTATTTACTTTATATCCCAGCCGTAGCCCTCTCTCTCATTCCCTCCCAATCCCACCCTCCCTCCCTCATCTCCTCCCTGCCCCTTTCCAAGTCTACTGATAGGGGAGACCTCCTCCTCTTCCATCTGACCCTAGCTTATCAGGTCTCCTCAGGACTGGCTGCAATGTCCTCTTCTATAGCCTAGCAAGGCTGCTCCTCCCTCGAGGCGGAGGGGTGGGGGGAGAGGTCGAAGAGCTCACCATTGAGTTCATGTCAGAAATAGTCCCTGTTCCCCTTACTAGAGAACACACTTGGATACTGAGCTACTATGGGCTATATCTGGGCAGAGGTTCTAGGTTATATCTGTACATGGTCTTTGGTTGGAGAAACAGTCTCATGAAAGACCCCTGTACCCTGATATATTTGGTTCTTGTGGAGCTCCTGTCCTTCTGTCCTCTTCAGGTCTTACTAACTCCCCCTTCTTTCATATGATTACCTGTACTCTGCCGAAGGTTTGGTTATGAGTCTTAATATCTGCTTTGATACACTGCTAGGTAGAGTCTTTCAGAGGCCCTCTGTGGTAGGCTCCTGTCTTGTTACTTGTTTTCTCCTTCCTCCAATGTCCATCCCATTTGTCTTTCTAAGTGTAGGATTAACATAGTGAAAATGGCCATTCTGCCAAAAGCAATCTACAGATTCAATGCAATTCCCATCAAAATACCAACACAATTCTTTACAGACCTTGAAAGAAAAATTCTCAACTTCATATAGAGAAACAAAAATCCCAGAATTTCCAAAATGATCCTGTACAACAACATATCATCTGGAGGTATCTCCATCCCTGATCTCAAGCTGTACTACAGAGCAATAGTAATAAAAACTGCGTGGTATGGCATAGAAACAGACAGGTGGATCAATGGAACCAAATGAAAACAATATTAAACAAAAGTTTTTTAAAAAATCAGTGCTTGCTTCGGCAGCACATTACTAAAATTGGAATGATGCAGAGAAGATTAGCATGGCCCCTGCGCAAGGATGACACAAAAATTCGTGCATTCCATATTTTTAGAATTCTCAATAGAGTATCGAATGGCAGAGAAACAGTTAAAAAAAAGGCTCAACATCCTTGGCTATCAGGGAAATGTAAATCAAAATGACCCTGAGATTTCACCTTACACCCATCAGAATGGCTAAGATCAAAAACTCAAGTGATAACACATGCTGGAGAGGTTGTGGAGAAAGGGGAACCCTCCTCCATTGTTGGTGGGATTGTAAACTGGTACAACCACTTTGGAAATCAATCTGGCACTTTCTCAGACAATTAGGAGTAGTGCTACCTCAAGATCCAGCTATACCACTCCTAGGCATATATCCAAAAGATGCTCAAGTACACAACAAGGACATTTGCTCAGCCAAGTTCATAGCAGCTTTATTTGTAATAGCCAGAAGCTGGAAACAACCCAGATGTCCCTCAGTTGAGGAATGGATATAGAAATTGTGGTACATTTACACAATGGAATACTACTCAGCAATTAAAAACAAGGAAATCATGAAATTTGCAGGCAAATGATAGGAACTAGAAAAGATCATCCTGACTGAGGTATCCCAGAAGCATAAAGACACACATGGTATATACTCACTTATAAGAGGATATTAGACATATAATATAGGATAAACATACTAAATTCTGTACACCTAAAGAAGCTAAGTAAGAAGGAGGACCCTGGGTAAGATGCTCAATCCTCATTCAGAAAGGCAAATGGGATAGGCATTAGAAGAGGGAGAAAACAGGACACAGGGCAGGAGCCTACCACAGAGGGCCTCTGAAAGACTCTACCCTGCAGGGTATCAAAGCAGAGGCTGAGACTCATAGCCAAACTTTGGGCAGAGTGCAGGGAATCTTATGAAAGAAAGAGATAGAAAAATCCGGAGGGGACAGGAGCTCCACCAGGAGGAAAAAAAAAAAAAGAATCTGGGCACAGGGGTCCTTTCTGAGACTGATAATCCAACCAAGGACCATTCATGGAGATAACCTAGAACCCCTGCACAGATATAGCCCATGGCCGCGCAGTGTTCAAGTAGGTCCTTAGTAATGGGAAGAGGGACTGTCTCTGACATGAACTCAGTGGCTGGCTCTTTGATTACCTCCCCTGAAGGGGGTGGGGGGGGTGGAGCCTTACCAGGCCACAGAGGAAGACAATGCACCCAGTCCTGATGAGACTTGATAGACTAGGATCAGAGAGAAGGGGAGGAAGACCTTCCCTCTCAGTAGACTTAGGGAGGGACATGGGAGGAGATGAGGGAGGGCAGAATTGGCAGGGGACTAGGGAGGATGCTACAGCTCAGATACAAAATGAATAAATTGTAATTAGTAAAACAATAAATAAAATTAAAAAAAAAAATCAGCCTAGGGCCAGGAGTGGCCCCAGGACTATAATCCCAGGAGTTTGGAGACAGAGGCAGGCCAATCTTAGTAAGTTAGTTCTAGGTCAGCCAGGATAACACAATGAGATTCTGTCTAAAAACAAACAAACAAACAAAAAAACAAAAAAACAAATAACAATAGCAATAAAACAAAATCAGTATAAACTCAGGCTATTATTTTCTCTTAAACAACAATCACATAAGACATTGATATAAGACATTCATTGGAACCCAAAGGGGATTTTTTTTTTTAGGTCTTGGGTTCAAGTGTATAAGAGTAATGTATGTATTATATAGTAAGAAGGGGCAGTCTGAATGAGAATGGCTCCTATAGGTTCATGTTTGAATATTTTGGTCCCCAATTGGTGGAACTATTTAGGAAGGCTTTAAGGTTCCAAAGCCTACACTCATCTCAGTCTCTCTTTCTCTACCTGTTGCTTATAGATGAGAATATAAAGCTCTCAGTCAGTGTTCCTGTGTCATGCCTTTCTGCTTCCTACCATGATGATCACAGACTAACCCTCTAAAACTATAAGCAAGCCCTCAACTAAATGCTTTCTTTTTATAAGAGTTGCCTCAATCATGGTGTCTCTTCACAGTAAATAAGAACAATATATTTAATATGTAGCTGCAGCATATTGTTTTAGAATTCTGATTACTTGGCCCCAATTGAACACTGAACTTTTGGGAGAGTTAGCTTTTCTTTAAGCTCCACATGGTCAGATCTGGATCTTACATCTTTACTGTTCATTCCCAAGAAGTATTGTGACATGGCAATCTGTTAAAAAAAATGTGAAATTTTGACTAAGAGTTAGGTAATTTCAGTTAGATATTTACTGCCATCTTTCAGTCACTACAGCAGGCTGTGCTCCAGAATCCCTCAGGGAACAGCAAAATAAAAGATGTTCAAATTACACAAATGGCTTGGTATTTGTATTTCACCTTCACACACCCTCCTATATACTGAAATCATCTCCATAGTACCAATAACATCTAATATACTGCATTACTATAATCTTAGCAAGTACCCACAAGGCTATACCTGCTGACACACATGCACTGCTTTTCAATGGATAAAGGAGGAACATCTATTTTCAATTATTTATTTATTTATTTTATGTGTATGAGTGTTTTGCTTGGATACATGTCTGTGCAGCAAGTGCTTGCCTGAAGCCCATGCAGATCAGGAGAGGACACTGGATTCCCTGGGACTGGAGTTAACAGATGGTTGTGAGCTGTCCTGTGGGTACTGGGAACTGAACCCTCTAAAAGAGCAGCCGGTGCTCAACTGCTAAGCCATCTCTCCAGCCTTGAGGAAGACTGTATGAGCATTTCAACCACAACACAACTTTGAGTGACAAGGAAGAGAGCAAAGAAATACACAGGATTCCAACATTACAGCATGGCTACCCACATGTGGCTCTGTGAACTCCTCTCGGCTTTTACCAAAGAGTTCAATTAATTTCCTTTCGGCAACAAATAAAGTGGTTTCTTATTGAAGCAGTTTGGGTCAGTTATTTAGGTCAGGGAACCAGGCCTATGCAACACGTACAGGAAAGTGACTGAAGTATTAACTATGCCTCTCCCCATGGCACACTTACCTGTCAAGAGCAGATTGACTGAGGGCTGGAAGAAGGTCAGAATCTTCACTCCTATCAGTTATTGTTTTTAAATACCTAAGTTTTAACTTCTCACATTAAATTGTGGGAACATGTAGATTATTAGAATGGCTTCTCCAAAGATGACCATTTAGTTATGACAACAGATGAGGCCCTGCAGGAGCAGGTGTCCTATATCCCAGGAAAGCACAACGCCGTGAGGTTCCCTCACCTGTGACACTGTGATGCTGCATTTCTTGGCCAGCTCCTCTTTGGCTTCTTCACTGGGGTATGGGTTGCTGAGGTGTGAGTAAAAATATTCATTCAAGATCTCTGTGGCCTGTTTACTGAAGTTACGCCTTTTCCGTCTATGACAAAAGCAGGGAGGAAAAAATAAGACACACTCATAATCAGCATTAACCAAAGGGACAATTGATTAGCACAATATAAAAGAAATGGGCTTCTACTTCATCTGTATGAGAGTTACGTGAGCCTCCAGGCAGCCTCTGAAGCATGGCCCAGACCTGTCTAAGGTATAGCATCACTAAAAAAATGTATAAGAATGTGAAACACAATTCATCTCATTCTTTATCCCAAAAAGTTTATTCAAACCTTAATATATTCTAGGTTTTAAATGAAGACACACAGGGAATGAAACAGACATGCTCTAAAGAACTTATAGGCACCTGCGGATCAGGAAGAGGGCAGAAAGACATTAAATAAGAACACAGGCTGGGTGGTGGTGGCGCATACGTTTAATCTCAGCACTCAGGAGGCAGAGGAAGGAAGATCTGTGAGTTTGAGGCCAGCCTTGTCTACATGAGTTCCAGGCATGCCAGGACTGCATAGTTTCAACCTGTCTCAACCTTCCCCCACCCCCAATGAACACAGAAATCAGTAGGTTTGTATCACAGTGAGCATACAAAGTACCATGAAAAGTATGAGGTGAAATACAGTGTATAACAGGACAGTGCCACAGACCCTGGCAAGATTTCCTTGAGGAAACCAATCTGAGGTCTGGAAATGTACAGGAGGAGAAAAGGAGTGGGCAGAGGAAAAGACCTCGCGATGCAAAACAACTTGGTTAGTCTAACAGGCTAAAAGAGGCTGGAGCTCAGAAAAAGTTAGAGAACATGGGAGGTGGTCTAGAAGGAAAGGCGATGCCAGATGACAGAGATTGTGGACCTCACAAGCTGATTCTGCTTTTAGTCTCAGTGCAACAGGAAACTGTTGAGGCTTTAAGTTTTCCTGTTTTGTTTGCTTGTTTTTCTGAGACAGGTTTTCTCTGTGTAACAGAGCACTGGCTGTCCTGGACTCACTTTGTAGGTCAGGCTGGCCTCGAACTCACAGAAATCAGTTTGTCTCTTCCTCTCTCAGAGCTGGGATTAAACTTGTGTGCCACCATGCCCAGCTGTGTTTCCTGTTTTTAAAAAAGTATTTTACATTTGCTTATCTGATGTGCGTACTAAGATGTGCAGTGTATGCACGATATATGTGTAGAGGCATACATGTGGCATTGAGAAGACAACTGGTGAGAGTTGGTTCTCCCTTTCCACCATGTAGGCTCCAGGGTTCGAATTCAAGCTGTCAAGCTTGGTACCAAGAATTTTGATCCACTGAGCCCTCTCACTGGCCCCACTTTTCAAATATTTTTGATTTGTTTGTTTTTTTGAGACAGGATCTCACTATGTAGCCTTACCTGGCCTAGAGCTTACTATAAAGACCAAGCTGGCTTCAAACTCATAGTAGGCAGATACAGTAGGAACTGATAGGTTCATGCAAGAGTGAGGGAAAAGAAGAGAGAAGGGAGAAATATACACCCAGGAAGATTTATGGGATTTTCTGCTTAGGCAACTGCCTGGACCTCAGTACGAGTTCTGAAAAAGAACAGAAAAGCACAGAGGAGCACATTTTGATGTTTTAGCTGGGGGAGTGTGTGTGTGGCAAATATCAGAAAACCAAATATTAACATATTTTGTGGAGCAAAAACATTGCTTATATTTGGTGGCTATTATTTCTGTTTTGAAGAATTCCTGACTAAAAAT